AGTATATTTTGTGAAAAATTTGACATGTTTAGAGGACTATTTTGCAATTTCTACACATTTAGTATATCTCTATTTTTATTTATGTATGACACTTTATAATTAAATGAAGATTAGTTTATGCACATTAATGATATATTAGATGCACAATATTGTATGTTTGCGTGCACTTTAAAAAATCATGTCATGCATTTTAAAAAATAATGTCATATGTATATGAAACTATTTACAAATTTTATAAATACGCCATTTTTTACGATAATTGAATTGCACAAAATTGTGTTTATATATGAGCTTTAAAAGTAAAAACAAGTAATCAAAATAAAATATAAAAGTTCAATTGGTTTCGAGCTCTAATGTGCAATCTGATAATCGAAATAAAGTGCAACATATTATTTTAGTAAAGTGCAATGTGTTATCTTATAAAGTGCAACGTTTTGACATTTAAATCGAACTATTTTGGTACGTTGGCATACTCGTGTTTTGTGTGGATAAATGATGTGATTACTATCAAAGTAGTATGTATACCCGTTTTTAATGTAACAATAGATAATCGATCGAAAACATAAAATTAGAACAAATGAGTTTAATGTAGACAGTTTTTTGGTCGCTAAAGTGCGCTCTGACAGTCACTATTGTGCAATATATCAACCATTAATGTGCAATCCAAGCGTACGTATAAAAAAAAGAAAGTTATTTAAAAATATATTTATATTATAAAAATATATTATTATTTATTTTATAATAATTATTATTACATTATTTATGTAAATAATATAATTGAAATAATTATTATTTATATTATATAAATATTTATTAATACATTATTTATCTAAATAGTTTAATTGAAATAACTATTATTTATATTATATAAACATATCTATTTTTAACATTTTATTCAATATTTATGTATAAAAAAATATATACAAAATAATACTTTTTTATAACTCTTACAAATTACAAATTTGGCACATGGGCTAAATTGTAATATGACCAAAATTGTTAAAATTGCTAATTAGTACCTAAAAACAATCTAATTTCCAAATACATGACCCACATATTTCCGGCGGGAGCCTTAACCACGGTCAGCTCCTAACGCCGGCGATTGACGTTCGGCGACGAGCTCGTCCCACAGGTCTTCACCACCATCTTCTCTAGCCGCAAAAACATGGCTCCAGTTTGCCATGGCCGGTTCGTCCTCCACAACCTCATCTCCTCCTCTCCGATTCTGACGACAAGACTAGACCGAGGGAGATGGCAGTCGACGGAGGTTGGCAAGTGGGATAAGGTGGTGGTCTTTTCCGACAGTGTGCATCAGGACTTGTTCCGCTGTCGCATAACGCGGTTGCCGGAGAAGCCGAAATCCGTCAGAGAGAGTACGGTCGGCGGCGACGTGGGCGGAGGTAAGGTGGAGGTCGGACGAAGATGTGAGGCAGAGCCGATGGAGGTCGGGCGGCCAGCGCATTTCTGTGTGTGTATATGTATGTGACCGGATGTGTGTGTGAGTGTTTTGTGTGTGTGTGTGTATGTGTGTGCGCGCGCGTGCACACGTGCGTATGTGTGTCTGATAGGTGTGTGTGTGTGTATAAATAAACTTAATGAATTTATAAATGCTGAATTTTTTTTATCTGTTGGATCATCCGATCTAATGGTCACGATGTATTCTTATTTTATTTTCATTAGAAAAATCTTGCCTAGAATTTTTATTTTACTAAATATAGGAACTCAAAAATATTTTTAAATTTGACATCTTTAAAATATGATAGATAAATTTAAAAAATAACTCTAAATTCAAAATTTCTCTGATAATAAAATTTGCAGCACATTTGTACTATTTAGAAAGGAAATAATACATATAGTGTACACCATATACATAAATATATATATATAATTTTTTTTAATTCACAACATATCCATGAAAATTATCAATTTGTTCAATTCCATGCGGATGTGAATATATATTTTTTTTTTAACCGGAAACATATATGGCTAATTATTGAGTTGTCCATATTACATCCAGACCCAATTATTTTTCTTTTTCATTGAAAAAATGTTATATGATATTTTTTAATTTATTCTTTCTATGTATATGTGTCATATCTTTATGTTTAATATTTAAATATTTAGACTTTGATTAATCTATACAATCTCTTAGCCTTCGGTGATATTACATAAGAAAATCCGTGTACTTAATTTTCTAAGTGAAAATTGAGGTAAATAAAAATAAGATATGTTTTTTAAAATATTTTCTCAAAACTTTACAACATTTATTAATCTCTCAACTAACAAATTTATAAAACAGATGCAAACAATCACTCGCTTTTTTGAGATAGTGGTGTTAGACGGGTTCGGGCCAGGACTGGTGTGGGGGCGGAGTGCTTTCCTCTCGGTTGGTGACGGGTCGATTATGGGATTGGTTCGGGCTCGGAGTTGGCTATTGTATAGGCGGTTGCGCAGTTTCGGTAGCGGTTCTTCGGGCTTGAAATCTTTCTTGTGTTGATTGTTACTGTTGGTTGGGTCTATTCGATTGCTGAGGAAGGGTTTTGTGTATTCATGTTATTGTAGTTATTTTTTGTGTTGCTCTTGTGTTTGATTATGTGTTTTCGGTCTGGGCCGTTGGCCCCTGTGCGCCCGAGTTGTATCTGTGTCCGTGTTGTCTTTGTGTTTTAGGTCTGGGTCACTTGGCCCCTGTGAGAGGGATTACTCCGTTGGAGTCGTCCCACATTACCTCGTTGGGGGTCGTTCCACATTACCTCGTTGGGGGTCGTTCCGTAGTTAGGTCGTTGGTGTCGTGTTATTGTGAGTTTCTTTTCTAGCATTGCTAGTCATCTCTAGGCGGTCTTTTAGACCTGTCCTCCCAGTTTTATTCAGCTGTTGGCTGTATTATTCAGTCATGGGCTGTGTACTTTGCACATTTGTACGTTTTTGTTATATAATATTCTCTATCGTTTCGTAGACAAAGTAAATGATATCTTTAAAATTTAAGGCAATTAATAAATGAGTAAATGAAATTTAAATTAGGGAACACTTTTAAATTTATGTGTGATCTCAAAAAAATATACATACCAATATTTTGTGTGTATACCTTGAAAGGATACGTACAAAATCACTATAAAATCAGTATTAGGTTTATTCAACTACTTAATATGTTCGTTTAGTCCAATATTTAATTTTAAAAATAATTTAATATGATCGTTTAGTCCAATATTTAATTTTAACAAATAACCTTAATATTTTTGTTTAGTCCACTAGTTAACTTTAACATTACTTTCCCGTACATCGCATGGGATATGTGTTGCGAATTGAAGTTTTATGCCCAAGGAAGCGAATAGTCGAGAGTGAAGGGTACGGCACGAGATGAAACAAATCAACGCGCAAATGACCGTGGGAACGAGCGCAAGGCAGGAGATGTGCGCGAGCACGAGGCCGACGATGCGCGCGGACTCGAGTACGAGACATGCAAGAACAACGGGACGCTGACATTATGGGTGGCAGCGAGATGAGAAGCTCGTGCAAAAGCAACGCGAGCGCGAATGCACGGCAGCACGACAGCATGAGCGTGCACGCAAAACGACATGACAATAATTGCATGGGATACAGAGAAGCAGACGAGAGTCTCACGCGAAGGCAAGGAAGCACGCGCAGGAGCGAGCCCGAGGGTCTCGCGTGAAGAGGCGAGCACGTGTAAAGGGAGCTTGCGCGAGCGCATGCGTACAGAAATGTCGCGCTAGGCATGGGCGCGTGATGTGCGCGGGGATGCGCATGCGGGTCGGGGCCGAGGCTCTCGTGCAATGTCGCGGCGTGGGCGTACGCATGCGACTAATGTGCGGATCAAGCTAGACGAAAATTCTAGAAGACAGTAGAGAATTATAGAAGATCTTGAGGCTAATTTATTAATAAATTATTTATTAGTCTATTATTCCTAGTTTGTTAGGTGTTTTGGATTAGTTGGCATGTGCCTAATTATTTAGTTTCCATGGGACCTTAGATATTTTATTTTCTTAAGATTAGAATTTTAGTCCTTATAGAAGTAGTATTTTATTCCCATAGGTTTAGTATTTCTATTCTATAAAGCCTATGTACACATTTTTTTAATCATTAAAATAAAAGTAAACCGTTCATTTAAACAAATCTGTTGTGTTTAGAAAGGTCGTCAGTGCGTTGTTTCACAAAATCGTGTAGAAACTAGGCCAATAGTGAGAGTTTCTTTACAACTATCGCAAAGTACCAAGGTCATTAGTGTGGGTATTGACAATCTATCGTGTAGAAGAAAGGCCGTTAGTGCGCGCTTTTACGCAAAACAAGATATCGATACCTGATCTTCATCATTGGTGCTTTCGTTGAGAGAGGTTGATCGTGTATCAATTATATATATATATATATATATATATATAATATATATTTGAAAGGAGTTGAGTGCAGCATAAAAAAAGTGTGTTCGTGAAAAAAAAAATTATTATATTTTTAGCGTGCATCACTATGTTAACCAATGAAGAGGATGATAGATTGGATACAATGGAGGAGATATTGAGGTTATTAGCGATAGTTGGAGGATCACGAACAATCGCGTACAAGCAATGAAAGAAGTCGTCGAGCAGATGTTGAACCAAATAGCAGCCGGACGCAAGCCCTGTAAATGATCCGAGAGCCGTACCAATTATGTTAAGAGGCCAAAAATTTGGGTTGAAGTTTCGGGTGACGAAGGCTTGAAGGGGTCGAGCCCAAGGGGTAATCCGTCCATCACCGACGAATGGTGCGAGTAGCTCACGTTCCCGTCTGGATTTCTTGGATTTTTTTGAAGACGTGGTAGCCATCAAGGTCGTGGATGAATGGGCGATTACCAAGTACGAAGGTTCACCACTATTTGACGCCGAGTTCGTGGATGAGCCGGTGTCAACCGAATACGAGGGCCGTCCTTTTTGGGATGACGAGTCTACCTATTTCGAAGAAGTGATCGATTAGGATGAGGCCACACGGGTAAACAAAGGAGTGTTCAGGGGAGGAGAGGAGGATGGGGATGCTATAACTGAGCATAATCACGAGGATGGTGAAGATGAGGTGCCACGGTTGGTGTCCATTGATGCACTTAATGGGGAAGTCGATGGAGGCAGGAATGATGAGAATAGAGATTTTGTGACCAAGGACGCGAATAGTCGAGAGCGAAGGCTACAACATGAAATGACACAAAACAACGCGCATTTGGTCGTGGGAACGAGCCCAAGGCAGGAGATGTGTGCACACTCTTGCGCGAGGTACATATGCGAGCACAAGATGAGCGACGCGGGCAACGCTTGTGGAGCAGGCGATGCCGGCAATAGCGAGCTGAGAAGCTCGCGCAAGGCAACTCGCACGCGACAGCGCGAGCACGTGCGCACGGCGACCCAGAGAAATAGGCGAGAGTCTCACGCACACGGGAGTGAGCCCGAGGGTCTCGCTTGAACGGGTGGGTACGCGCAAAGGAAGCTCGCGTGAGCGCAAGGGCACGTGTACATGAATGTCGCGCAGGGACGTGCACGGTGGCGCAGGGCCGAGGCTCTCGCGCAAGGTCACGGCGTGGGTGCACGCATGTGGCTAATGTGCGGATCAAGCTGGCCAAAGATTCTAGAAGATGGTCAAGAATTCTAGAAGATCTTGAGGTTGTTTTATTACTCAATTATTTATTAGTTTATTATATCTAGTTTCTTAGGTGTTCTGGATTAACTGGCATGTGCCTAATTATTATGTTTCCTTAGGACCTTACGTATTTTATTTCCTAAGGGTTAGATCTTAAGTCCTTATAAGATTAGTATTTTATCCCCATTGACTTAGTATTTCTATTCCATAAATAAAGCCAATGTAGTCATCTTTGTCATTCAATTCTTCCTATTCTCCTGCTACAAATGCCAAAACAAAGACGAATTCAGTCGCTAAGGGCTCGCTGCCTCAAGGTATGCCTTTAGCCCTAGTCCTAAGCAACCCGGAACCACCACGAACAGCGGAGTAAGCTCTCACGACGGCCTTCCTTTCTTCGGCATTCATTCGTCTCAAAAGAATCTTGGGCTACGCTCCTTGAATCTATCTATTCCGGTTACAGAGCAAGGGAGATGCCTCATTGAAGTAATAAGAAAATCGTTCATTTGAACAAATCTCTTGTGTTTACAAAGGCCGTCAGTGCGTTGTTTCACAAAACCGTGTAGAAACTAGGTCCATAGTGCTGATTTCCTCACAACTATCGGAAGTACCAAGGCCGTTAGTGCAGGTATTAGCAATCTATCGTGTAGAAAGAAGGCCATTAGCACGCCCTTTTACGTAAAACAAGGTATCAAGATATGCAATCTTTATCAATGTGCAGTTATGCACTAGTTCTTAGACATGATATCAACTTTAGTTCACTATTCATCCACTTACATAATTTTAATTAATTATCACTTCACATCATCAGGCTTCTACTATTACATCAAATCAATTTTAAAAATGGTTTATACGACTAAAGATTCACCCACATGAACAAAATTGATTTACTAACTGGAACATTTGGACGGCACCCCGCATATGTACCCATGGAACTGTTAGTGTTATATACTGAAAGTTTGGATTCAGATGATATTACGCTTTATCTTTGTTGAATGAGAATTATCTTTGCTTAAATAAGTTCTATGTTCTGTTGTTTTGCACTTAGATAACATGGTTCATTAGCGGGTGAACAGAAGATCGTTTTATCAGTTACTTGCGATACAAGAATTGTTGGTTCACAACCTAGATGGAAATGAACAAACCATCAAACGATTGTAGTGTCAACTTTACAGTTGGTCTTGACTGATTAGTCGCACTAGTAAATTTATGTATTGAACAGGATCCCAGAGAGTAGTAGTTTGTTTTATACTGATCGTCGTAAACAAACTTAGTCTTGATTAATTACTGCATTCTCTTAACCCGCAAGATATAAACAGACATGTGCATATAGTATCCATTGGTTTGATTCACAAGAGGTGAGATTTCATACAGTTGGGTCGACATTCCGGATGTTTTGGGTAATAGTACTGCATGTACGATGTGCTGTTAGAATATTTACGGTCACCGTGTGCGACAGTATGATGATATCCCCAAAATGAGTTCATGAAGGATTGTTATGCTAAACCCTGCAGGTGGATTAAGTTCCGACATAATAATAATGTTATGAACGAGCGCTAGCATTGGTATTATAGTATATTAATTAATTCTTGATTATCAGTAATCAAATTAATTAATAGATATTATATATTAAACATGGGGAGGTAATTTGAGTAAATATAATTGGAGTCTCGAATATAATTTTGGAAAGAGTGGGCTTGGCTCACAGTTAGGCCCAATACTTATGTAGCACTAATCCTCATCTCCTTAAGATCCCTAATGTAGCTCTATATATACATCATCAAGCTTATGGGATTGAGACATAAGAGAAGAGCAGAAACCTAACGTGCATCACCTGTAAGCCGCCCCCTCATACTCTCTCTCTCTCTCTCTCTCTCTCTCTCTCTCTCGTTTCCTAGTTGAGCTTTATCTTCATGTTGTTGTTCCACCGGTACAATACGAAGAGGTGTTCGAGATATACAGTAGAAGATTCCGAGGTACCGAGACCCCGTATCAATATATATATTCGTCAAACTCGGATGCCGCTGGCCGACCACCGTCCGACCACTGTCGACCCCAGTCGATGGCCGTCTGCGATCGCCGATGACCACCGCACACCAGTCGCTGAGCCCGACGCACGAAAGCGCAACCCGCAACTATCCCGCAGCCCAGAAACTTCGAACAGCAGTCCGACGATGTCGCGACCCTGCCACGACTGCGCGATGGTTCTCGGGCTCCTTCGACGACACCCCGACGCATAAGCTACTTGATGAAGAATCGCGTGCCCGACTTGTGCCTGGCCTCGGACGTGGCGTGAGTGTAGGTCCTCAATTAGGGCTGCGGACAACTTGGAGGTTAAACTCTTTATCTTCTCGCGATAGGTGAAACAACTCGGATGTTTGTCCTTGCTCGTCTTGCTCGAGCAATGCGGTGGACGCCCTTTTCGTAACAAGGTTTTTGCGCTAAATATCAAAAGAATACTAACACAAGAATTGAACAAGAAGTTCAGTTTTTCTTATTAGTAATTCGATAATGAAAAGGTCTTAATAATATGAGTATTTATAGATATCAACTAGATCTAGTCCTAATCGAAATAGACTTCTAATTCTATGGAAAGTAATCACTAGAATCCTAAAGTAACCAAAATAATGCATACTAAACAATCTAGGAATAATAAAGTGTCTAGGAGAATCACTAGTCTTGATCGCCAAGAAACCGTAGTCGGCGGTCCCGCGCGCGTGCACTTCCTTCATGCAGTTTCCTCACGCGGATCCGTTCGGTGCGCCTCCTCGCACGCGTCGCGGCACTTTCCTGCATCGTCGCACGCGTTGCTCTCAGTCACGGCCCATTCATGAGTTCCTCCTTCGCGCGTGTCGCCTTGCCCGCTATCGCCCGTGCCAATCAAATTAGCCTCCTTGGCCCGCCGCGCCAACCTCCTGCGCGCATGATATGCTCGGCTCACCGCGTTCTTCAGTCTTCAGGCCATATCCTCATCATTCTCGTCCCCTTCAAGTGTTTACTTGTCCTCAAGGATGAGAGACGGGAATCGTTTGCGCATTGCGTCCAAGTCTTCCCAGGTCGCTTCTTCCTCGGGCTTATCTTCCCATTCCACTAGCACCTCCCAACGGAAACGCCCGACCTTCTTCACTTCCCGGTAGGTAAGCGCGCAGCTTGGACTAGCGACAATTTGTCCATCAGGTGTGGTCAGGGGCTATCAGTCGCTAAGCTTGTGCGCGTCGCCCAAGCTTCTCTTTAATTGCAACAAATGGATTACTGAATGGATTTTCGATTCTTCCGGCAGCTCGAGTCTATAAGCCACCTTGCCGACCCTTTGTACTAATTGGTAGGGTCCATAGTACCGGACCCTGAGTTTAGACACGGTCCTCTGCGCGACCGTGCACTGTCTAAAGGGTCGAAGCTTTAAATAAACTCAATCGCTTAGCTCAAAACTCTCCTCGCGACGTTTCTTGTCATGGAACGTCTTCATGCGGTTAATGGACTCTTCGAGATTTTTCTTTAGTTCCCGCAGCATCAGGTCACGCTCCATTACTTCTTGTTCGACCTCATCATTCATGGATTCCCCATTCGTATAACTCACAAGTGTGGGCAACTTCCGTCCGTATACTAACTCGAAAGACGTGGCTTTGGTTGAGCTATGGTACATTGTATTGTACCAATATTCGGCCCATGGTAAGAAGTTTACCCACTTCTTAGGGAATTGATGACGTAGCACCTCAAGTATTGCTCCAACATTCGGTTCGTCACCTCGGTTTGACCGTCGGTTTGTGGGTGATAAGACGAACTCATTGCCAACTCCTTTCCTTGCATTTTAAAGAACTCCGACCAGAAGCTACTCAAGAAAATTCAGTATTGATTGAAAACAATCGACCTAGGGATCCCGTGCAGCTTCATCACATACTCCACAAATAGTTGTGCGATCGACTTCACCGTGTAGGGATGTGTCAACAGGATGAAGTGCGCGTACTTCGTGAGTCGGTCCACCAAAAATATCACTCCGTTAAACCCATTGGACATTGGCAGCCCCTCTATAAAATCCATTGTAATGTCTTCCCAAATATGCTCGGCTACCGGTAAGGGCTGCAGCAAGCCATCAGGCCGGCACGAGTCCGCTTTAACCCTCTGGCACTCATCCCACCATGCCACTGCCTGGTCCAGTAGAAGGTGTTAGCTAGCCGCATCCACGTGCGGTATACACCTGAATGTCCTACAAACTTCGAGTCATGGAAGTGTATGATTATCGTCTCCTTCAAAGGCCCGGCGCTCGGCACGTACACGCGACCTCGGTATAGGCGCAACCCATCATGGTCGTCGTACTCGTCGGTGGCTGCATCCTTGGTTACCATCTTGTCGCGTATGTCTCGGCAAAAGGTGTCGTCCTTTTGCGCATTTCCCAGGTCATCCCATAGGGCCAGGTCGGCCCAAAAATCGCTTCCAGTTCGGCCACGTTCGTCCTGCACGATAGTGCATCGGCGACGCGTTTTGTCGCCCGGGTCGGTAGACGATCTCGAAGTCAAACCCCATGATCTTCGAGACGAACTTTTGTTGTTCGAGTGTAACGATCCTTTTCTCCAAAAGGTGTTTGAGAGGTTGTTGGTCGGTCACGATCCAAAAGCGCCATCCTAATAGGTAAGGTCTCCAACATCGTACTGCCTCAAACACCGTGAGCATTTCTTTCACGTAAACCGACATCCCAAGCTTCATAGTCCCAATGGCCTTACTGAGGTACGCTAGTGGTCTCCCTTCTTGAACTAGGACAGCTCCAATCCCAATGTCGCTTGCGTCGGTGTGGACCTCGAACAAGACGTCGAACTTCGACATCGCAAGCACGGGTGTGGTGGTCATCGCGCTTTTTAATTTCTCGAACGCGGCCTCACTAGCCTCAGTCCACTTAAATCCTCTCTTCTTGGTCATCTCGGTCAAAGGCTTGGAAATAGTCCCATAGTCCTTCACAAACTTCCGGTAGTACCCGGTTAATCTCAAGAACCCGCGCAGTTGCGTTAGGCTCGTGGATTTAGGCCAGTCAACCATGGCCTCGATCTTCCGTGGATCAACCTTCACGCCTTCGTCTGAAATAAAGTGGCTGAGGTACTCCACCATCTCTTATCCAAAAGAGCACTTCGAATGCTTGATGTGGAACGAGTTTTGGGACAAGATCTCCAACACCACGCGTAGGTGCTCGATGTGTTCCGGTCATGTCCTCGAGTAGATTAAGATGTCATCGAAGAATACTAGCGCAAATTTGCACAAGTACTCTTGAAAACTTGAGTTCATAGCAAATTGGAAAGTAGATGGTGCATTGCAAAGCCCGAAGGGCATTACCAATTACTCATAGTGCCCTTGGTGCATGCGGAAGGCCATTTTTAGAATGTCCGACTTTGCCACCCGGATTTGATGGTACCCGGCCCCCAAGTCTAATTTAGAAAAATAACGTGAGCCCCCCAACTCATCCAACATGTCATTGATACTCGGTATAGGAAACTGATCTTTGATAGTGGCGGTGTTCAAGGCCCGGTAGTTAGTGCAGAAACGCCACATGCCGTCCTTCTTCTTCGCAAGTAGCACCGGCGATGAGAACGGGCTCGTGCTATGTTGAATTAGCTCGGACTCGAGAATCTCGCCAACTTGCTTTTCGATCTCGGCTTTTTGGAAGTGTGCGTACTGGCATAGGTGGACGTGTACGGCTCGACCCTCGTCCACCAACTGAATGTGATGGTTGTATGGCCTCCTCGACGGCAATCCCTTTGTCTCGACGAGTACTCCCCCGAACTGCTCTAATAGTTCTCATATTCCCTTCTCGTGCCGCGGTGAATCCTCGGATCCCTTTCCTTCTTTCTCAATCACGATGGAAAAGCCTTGACTCCCGCTCTTCCATAATTTCTCGAGATTCCTTAGCCCCACTTCCTTAGTCCCATTGTCGTTGCTAGCCTTCAAATTTACCCGTCGATTGCCTACTTCGAATTTCATAACACCCTCACGGTAGTTGGTAGTCACGTCGTCGAGCCCTTCTAGCCACTTGACTCTAAGGACGATGTCGGGTCATACTAAGGGTAGGGCGTACAGATCGGCTTATACCGTTACGCCTTGTAATTGGATGGGCACCTCTTGGTATCCCCATTAGTGACCCGGACATCGAACGGTTCTACCTTAGTTGTGGCTAGCTTCAATTTCCCAGATAACGAGGCGTTGATATAATTTTGCGACGACCCGTTATCCACTAGTACCACAACGTGTCGATCGCCAACTCTCGCGGGCAGTTGCATGGTCCGCGGCCCTTTGGTGTCGGCCATAGCATGGACCGAGATCTTTGCCTCGTCGTCGCATCTCTTGGGTTTGACTTCTTCAGTTTCGGTCTTGTCTACTGCGGGTTCATCTTCCTCGGAATCGACCACTTGGATCATATAAGATTGTTTGCACCTGTGGCCCTGTGTGAACTTCTCCTCGCACTTGAAATACAGACCTTTCTCTCGTTTCCTTCACATCTCCTCAAAGGATAAGTTCCTCACCTCCGGTGGTCGCGGCTTGAAATTACTAAGTTTTCTGCTGCTCGCTCCTCGGGTGAGGTTGGGCGCGTTTGGTATCGCCGGCCGCTACTCGGTGAAGCGGACGTCATTGCGCCTGACCCTTCGCGTCGCAGCTAGATGATCGTCTCGCCTGCACGCAACCTCCATGGCTTCACGCATCCTCGCTGGCCTCTTCAATCTTACCTCCTCGGCTAGATCGAACTTTAATCCTCCGACGAACGTTCCAACTAGCGCACACTCGGGTAATCCGCGCACACGGCAAGCTATGCGCTCGAACTCCCGTTGGTAGTCGCGAAGGCTCCCCGTCTGCTTGATATGCGCGAGAGCCTCGTCATAGTTGTGGTAGTCGGATGCGACAAATCTCGTGATGAGCTCTTTCTCGAAATTTTCCCATCTGATTTGCTCATCCCGATTTTGGTAAATATTCGATAGCCACTGCCACCAAACATTAACCTCATCGTTTAGATAATAAGCCGCGTACCTTACCCATTCAGCCCGAGCGATCTCGTTGAGGTTTAAGTATCGCACGGCTCGGCTCAACCATGCGTCCGGATCTGATCCGTTGAAGGTTGATAACACCATCCTTGGCTTTTCGAACCTTGGTCTCTCCATGTTGGTCGAGGCATAGGAACGTGGATCAAAATCGTCTTCTCTTTCCTCAAACTCAGCCCTCTCGCATTCGTACTCCCTTGTGGCGCCCTGGCTCGTCCCCGAGGTGGTGGTTGTCGCACTAAGTGCAAGACCTCATCGATCCTTTGGTTCATGCCGTCCAGCATATTTTGTTGCGAGTTTTGGAACGACCTTTCGAGATGAGTGAGGTTGTTTGTCATGGACGTGTTGGTAGCTTCCAACCCCTCGGTTACGCTCGTCATCTTTGTCTCCAAATCCACAAGCTTTTCCTTGGCTTCATTGGCCATAGTTTTTTTTTTAGGACTCGAAAATTAAATTAAAAGATTGAACAAAAGAACACGCGATTGATACTCTAAATGAAATCACCAATGATGAGGAATCGCGTGTCCTGACTCGTGCCTGGCCTCGGACGTGGCGTGAGCGTAGGTCCTCGGTTAGGATTGCGGACGACTCAGAGGTTAAACTCCTTATCTTCTCGCGATAAGTCAGACAGCTCGGACGTTTGTCCTTGCCAAACTCGTCTTACTCAAACAATGCGGTGGACGCCCTTTTTGTAACAAGGTTTTTGCACTAAATATCAAAAGAAATCTAACACAAGAATTAAACAAGAGGTTCAGTTTTTCTTATTAGTAATTCGATAATGAGAAGGTCCTAATAACATGAGTATTTATAGATATCAACTAGATCTAGTCCTAATCGAAATAGACTTCTAATTCTATGGAAAGTAAATCACTAGAATCCTAAAATAACCAAAATACTGCATACTAAACAATCTAGGAATAATAAAGCATCTAGGAGAATCACTAGTCTTGATCACCAAGAAACTCTGGTTGGCGGTCCCGCGCGCATGCATTCCCTTCACGCAGTTTCCTTGTGCGGATCCGTTCAGCGCGCCTCCTCGCGCGAGTCAAGGCACTTGCCTGCGTCGTCACACGCGTTGCTTTCGGTCACGGCCCCTTCGTGAGTTCCTCCTTCGCGCGCGTCGCCTCGCACGCTATCGCCCGTGCCAATCAAATTAGCCTCCTTGGCCCGCCGCGCCATCCTTCTGTGTGCATGATACGCCCGTCTCGCTGCGTTCTTCAGTCTTCGGGCCGTATCCACATCACTGCTCCCAGCCTCACCCGACAACTTCTCGAGTCTGATGAGAAGGATCCGACTGCCCAGTGGATTTTGATATCTGACGATTTCCTTCAACGATAATCTACAACGTCTCAGAGTCTGCGAATTTTAAGCCATAAGTATTCAACTCTAAACCTCTAGATCCGCTGCGCATAGGTTTATTGTTGCTATTGAATTTGTGACTTGTACATAACGAGATCCTCACCGATCCCAACAAGTGTTATCGGAGAACTTGGTTAATTTGTTTTCTATAAAGTTCAAATTTACGGCTTTATTTGACAAGATGTGTTCAAACACAACCATATATATTGGATTATATTCACATAACTTGGTTTTGCAGGAATTAGTTTAATCCACTATTATGGTCGTATGTGTGTTTGATGAATGTTGTTAAATGTGATGAATGGTTTTTTAAACCTCGAACATGTCGAGGAGTTTTGATGATTGAATATTTGTAATAATTATTCGCCCGGTGGGACACTAGATAGATTTAATTATTTGTTTAGACGAACATGTAAACCCATTCGTTGGGTCTAGGATCGGATCATATAATTTTGTAAATTATATTTTTCGTATTGTGATCGTGTGTTGATGACATGGAGATCACGAGACCAATGAGACCTCGACGACCCGACCGGTCACGTGCCCAGGCGGCGACCGGCGAACCACCGCGTGCCTCGCGCAGCTTGGCAGCTTGTTGCCGGAAGCCGTGGGTGAGAGGGCGACAATGTGTGGTGTCGTACGGTGAGCTGCAGGCTATGAAGGGCTACTCAGAAATCTCGGCGCGTGCATTGCAGATGTGCTGCATGCGGTGGTCTGGGGCGCGGCTCGTCCGCGAGGAAGCCGCACGCTGGCCGCGCGATATCGCGTGGCGACGACTGCGTGCGAGAAACCCGCGCAACAACGATGCGCCAGCGCAAGGCGGCAGCGCGAGGACTGGCGAGGCGCGAGTGATCGGGAAGAAGAAAAAGAAACAGCGTCCGACGAGTTTTCACGATGGCGGCGGCAACCCCCTGGCGTGCAAGATGGTTTTCTTGTTGGACGATCAATTCGATATCTAACAGGGTTCTGCT